GGAGTCTGTGTGTCAGACTGAGTACAACTGTGTGTCAGTTAGTACATACCTGATAGGTTCAGGTTTCTTTATAGGTAGCCAGAACTGATAGGTTCAGGGTCTGTGCTTTACTTTAAAGTGTTCTGTGTGAACCAAACTGTTGTATGTATGATTGAGACTAAGCCACGTTACAGTATCTTATTTACTTGATCTTTTTATTTACCCTGTTTGTTATTTAAATAAACCTTGTTCTTTTGTTTGTTAAAAATCCATTCCTGGTCTGTGTGACTCCTTATAGGGAATGGTTGGTGGCAGCATATTTATAGTGTGGCATACTCCAGTAGGTCTGGGGTTGTCACAATGCTTATCTATAATTTAGTGTTTAATTTGAACCAGACCTCTATTAAATCCAGAGACGTTTCTCCACACCTTTTAAACCAAGACATCTGTATACTGACATTTTGAAATCCTGTTAACAGCTTATTGATACATTACTTGGAATTTTTTCTTGAAATGGTTGATGGATAGCACTGTTTCCTTTGCTATACTGGTGTTTCTTGCATTTCACAAGGACTGCCATATAAAATGTAGTTATTTCATAAGTTAAGGTCCCCCATGGCTGGCCATGTGGAGGCTAGGTTGAATTAGAACACAACTGGAGGATTGCATTCGCTATTTCTCATATAATAAATATTGAAGTCTTTCTCACAGGGACTATGTCATAAGAGACTTGGATGCATAGTTTTTAGAGAGAACTCATTTGTTTCACAGCAAAGGTGGGTGTTTGGCAAAGTCTTGTCAGCCAATTGGCAAAATATGTGTCCTCCAACATATTGAAATGCAATAAATTGTTATTTGTGAAGCCTTCATAGCTAATATGAATTCGTTGGTTTTGAGAGCCATTTAAAAATTGGGAGGCTTCTCTGAATTACAGTTGAAATGTTCCGGACTTTACTGGATATTAACTGAACCCTGTTATTTCGACACTTGTTTCCAGAGCTTCATGAGCCCGAGATAGAGCTGCTGAAAGAGATCCCAGCTCCAACACTGCCTAATAAAACGGTTGAGATAGAAATTGAGACACCAGAACAGGCAAAGAAAAGAGAAAGAAGGTAAGTTGAAATTGAGGAATTAAAGATGTAAAACCAAATATCTTCCAAAATTAATATGGAAGACGTTTACTGGTGGTCGAAACGTGCCCCATATTGAAAATTAACTTTTCCTGAACTGTTTTCTGGTCTTGGTTCTTCTGTCTTCTGAGATGAAGTGGGCAGTGGGCAGTGCAGCCATAGTCTTTTCTATTCTGGTTCTCAGAGTCGAGAACACCCTTTATCAACTATCTGGCTTAGATTTCTGTATTAGTTATGCACAGGAGCCCAGTAAAAACTTTACAGCAATATGTACAACTAATAGCATACAAGAGTATTTTACCGTCATGTTGACTTTTGTAATATGAACATGCTCTTGTGAGGTTGGGGGTTGTTTTTGGGGTTGTTTATTTGTCTGTTTTATTTGAGTCGTGTGCTCTGAATCTAGGAAGACAGATCTGTGCATAGCACTTACTCGTGGTTTGTTTTGTATGGGATATCTTGTAGAGAGAGAAGGCAGTCTGAGTTTGAAACATATCTCCGTAGAATGATGAAACGGTTTAACAAGGAAGTTTGTGAAGATACACACAAGGTAAGACGTTTCAGTGTAAAGTATTAGAAGGTAGTAGGGATGGCAGTAGATAAAAAGGGGACCTTGGGGAGTCATCCAATCAACCCATTGTTTAGCCCAACAGGATGAGGGCCACATCAAAATTACATGAGAGCTGGAATTCCTTTTGCTGGTTGAGAGGTACGTCCTTTGTTCTCCCACAACAAGGGCCCTGATCTTCTCAGCCATCATTCTTACCTTACAAAGTGAAGGTCGATGGAGTGGTGCCTCATCTACAAAATGTAGGATGGACAGTGTAAAACATGTTCCCTAAAATGACATTTGTTTGCTTGTTCCTTTTTAATACTTATGCAAATATCTTGACAGAGCTTCCCGTGGCTAGAATCCTGTTATCTACATATGCCAGTGGAACTGTGATGACTTAAATCTCAGCAGCATATTGCCACTAGATGTGGAATTGCTTCTTGTATTGATTCCTCATCACATACCAGTGACTTGGTGTGCAACAAGGAATAGAAGCAGCAGCTCCCATCTCTAGCAGCAATTTGGTATTGAGGTTTGTTGTTGCACCTAATGCTAGTGTTCATAATTTATTGGGTTCTGGACATTATATACTAAATACAAAAAACAAAAACAGAGTAATTGAGCAGGTGCTTTGTACCCAAAATGTCCTCATATGTTCCAGCTGACAGATTGCCTCTGAATATTTTGCTTGTGGTAAGTCTCATAGGAAATAACCCATAGATGTTCCATATCCTTTACTGGCTGTGTCTCCATTCACGTTTTTCATGGCAGAATAGAAGAATTTGTTCAGAGTTAGCTCTGCCCTTTTGTGGTGTGAAAACAAAGTCAGACTACATGATTTAACCTATTATTACTCTTGCTCTCACCCTCGGGGCATATTTCCCTTTTCCCAACAGGTTCACTTACTGTGCCTATTAGCAAACGGTTTCCATAGGAACAAGATCTGCACTCAACCAGACTTGCAAGCTATCGGGCTTTCTATCATCCCCACCCGCTTCACTAAAACCCCTGCAGGTCAGGTCAATCGCCTCTACCTGTCCAACCTTGTAAAATGGTAAGTGTTTCTCTTCCTATGACCAGTTCTTCCCTTTTAACAATCTTAAAATGTGGGTTTTTTTTTAACGTGTGGCGAATGAGGAAAGGTTATCACTTGGAATTGTATCCTTCCAGGAGTAAAATGATTTATCCCCTTAAAACAATATGAGAGTGTCCGCTATCGTCCACCCCACCCCCACCCAGATGGAGATGAGCTGTTAATGTGCAAGCTGGACAAGAGGGCAGTAAAATGTGAGTTTTGTTCTTCTAGGTTTGTGGCAACCTTCACCGTCAACGATCAGCTCTCGAAGAATAACGAAGGTTGGCAAGCCACTCTGGAGAGGCACTTTGCTGTCTATGCTGCACGAGATGAAGAAGAACTGGTACATGTGAGTAATTAGAAGGCTTTTTATGGTTTGCCAGATCACTCCTAGTGTAGCCATGACATGGGTGGTGCTGAGGAAAACTAAAATAAAATAAAATAAAAAACTGAAGGTTCCAGCAATAGCGATGATGAATACTTAGACACCCCGCTTGTAAATTCAAAGAAACTAATATGAAGATGTTAACAATTGTGATATGTTTTAGCAGAATTGAATTCACAGGCTGGATGCATGATTGATGGCCATTGTTGCTTAGGAGTATTGTAAATAATGCATATTGCGTTAACTACATATTGATTTTATCTGAGGATTCACATCTTTCAAATGGCATCTGTGGAAGTCCTCTTCCTTTATATTTGACCTGCCATGCAAAAGAGGTACTCCATAAGAAACTGGGCATCCCAACAAGGGAACATCCTAAATTCTGCCTGATAATTAGATCAGTCATGACAGAATTGTGAAACAAGTTTCAAATATGCTTCATCTGCAGGCAAAAAATAACTTTTTAAAATCACTTCCTTTTCATCTAGGCAGTCTTACAAAAGTCACCCTGTTGGAAGAAATCATTAAAGATGTCTTTTCTAGGGGCTGGGGGGAGGATGACAGGTGATTTGTATAAATCAGGTTCCATTTTTTAATAACATGTTTTGTCTTTTTTGAATAGATGTTTTTACTTATTCTGCGGGCGCTGCAACTGCTTTGCCGTCTTGTGTTGTCTCTGCAACCCATTCCTCTGAAAGGACTGTTGGGGAAAGTAAGTGTCATATGTTAAGGTAGTAATTCCTGTTCCTGCTTTCCTGGGATAAAGCTCCGTTGGAAATAGACTGGATGATGAGTAAATATACCTGAGAGTGTTTTGTGAAGTAGAGCTTCTCAAATAAGTTGCTGGTGAGCAGGTGATGGTCAGCTCTGTTCAGATTTTTTTTATGTGTCTGCCTTCTGTTGTTACATCAAGCCACTGTTTATTTATTTCTGAACTCCAGTCCAGATGCTGTTTTCTCTTCAGTGCATTCATGGTATCTCTGGCAGGTAGGGTTAAGACTGGGGGAATGCGGGGAACGAAGATCCATTTGTTATGTTTACTGAAACTGCAGTAAAGAAGCCCCATAGTCTGTCCCAAATGGAGAGGGCATGGGTTTTATTAGAAACAACATCCTCAAATTGTTGCAATACAGTGGTGCCTCGCACAGCGAGGTTAATCCGTTCCGGATTAACCATCGCTGTGTGAAAACATCGCTGAACGGGGCAGAAAAGCCCATTGGAACGCATGAAACGAAGTTCCAATCAGCTGATATACTCACCGTTCAGCGATGTTTTGCAATGGCCGGCAGCCATTTTCGCGCCCTCCCCTCGCTTAACGAGGGCACGAAAACGCTGCGCGTGGCCATTTTGGGGCTTCTGTCGGCCATTTTGGGGCTTCCGGCAGCCATTTTGTAGCCGCTGAACAGCTGATCGGTGGGTCACAAAGCGAAGGTCGGTAAGCGAACTGCTTACTGACCTTCGCTCTGCGATTTTCGCCCTATGCAGGCATCGGTGTGCGATCGCATTTGTGATCGCAAAACCGGCCTCATAGAGCGAATTCATCGCTCTACGGTGCACTCGTTGTGCGAGGCACCACTCTATTTGTGTTCTCTGGCATTCTGCTGCATTCTGAAACTGGTGCTTAAGTGAAATGTAGATGGAATCGAAGGAGACGGTATGGGGAGGAAGAGTCATTTGTGCTGCTTTGAGTTCACTGGAGAAAAGATGGAGTGTAAATGTAACAGATAAAATACATAATAAATTAGGAATATTGGCTTTTTAAAAATTATTTATATTTCTTCTTTTATTTATTTTAGCAAAAGGGTCTCTCCAAGAAGCGCTCTGCGGGTACAGCTTCTGTGGAATCAGATGGCTGTGCCAAAAAGCCTAAAATGGCATCCAAAAGGCGCACAGGGCCAGCCAAGACCAAGCCAAGGGCAAACCAAGAAAAAATCCAGTTAAGGACTCCAGAAAGTGATGAGGAACCAAATACCTCTGGAATCAAAAGAAGAACAAATAAATCTCCAGCCTCTAGGGGTGCTGAAGCACAAAAGGGATCTGGCCCTGTGGAGAACAACCTGTGGGAAAAAGAAGGCTTGGGAAGGCCCAAAAATGTCCGCCAACGGAGAGTGGCCTCTAAAGTATCCTATAAAGAGGAGAGCGGAAGTGATGAAAGCAGTGACTCTGAATTTCGTGTTTCAGAGGAAGATGAGGATGACAGTAATGTCTCTGATGAAGATTTTGAAATGCCCCGGAGAAAGCAGAGGTTATCACAAGGAACTCCTAAGGCAAACACAGCTGTGAACAACAGGCAGAAATCTGTGTCTTCTGTATTGAAGGGACCCAATCACTCAAAGGCAGTTCCTGGGAAAGTCGCTACACCGAGCTCTTCTGACTCCTCCAAGAAAAGGAACAAAATAATTTCTAGTGATGATAATGAAGAAGAAGAAAGAGGAGTGGTTAAAGTCAAAGGCACAGACCAGTGGGTGGAGGTTTTTCTTGAGCGGGAAGATCGGTGGGTGTGCCTAGACTGTGTTCATGGAACCGTTGGGCAGCCTCTGCTGTGCTTCAAATATGCCACAAAGCCCGTGTGCTATATCATTGGCCTTGACAACAATGGGTCTGTAAAGGATGTGACACAAAGGTATGATCCAGCATGGATGACCTCGACACGGAAATCTCGTGTGGATGCCCAGTGGTGGGAGGACACTTTGGAGCCATACAGGAGCCCTTTTGTGGAAAGAGACCAAAAAGAAGATAGAGAGGTAAATAAAATGGAACGGGTGGGTATTTTTCCCATGACCAAAATCCAGTCTGAATTTACTCAGTGCTGTGCCTCGCCTCTTCTGACAGTTTTGGATTTCCAGGTTGTGTATACATTTTGGCTAGGGCTGGGGGTGGCGGGGAAGAGAGGATGTCAAATATACAGGAAAAATGTCACTGCATGGCCTCAGCTTATCCTGAAGCAGAAAACATGAGTTAAAAGGGGAAATTAAGCAACGACCAGCTACTGCCAACTCCAGCAATGAGATAGTTTGTTAGGCCTAGAATGTTCCAACACTGGAGGTATGTCATGTTTTCTGATTAAGAGTAATTTTGATCCTGTGGTGCCACAAGACATAAACAGAAAGGTCCAAGAACCTCCATGGACAAGGGGGGTTGTCAAAGAACATACATTAGCACCAGCCTTTCGTTGGTCAAAATTTACATTGTTCAGCTGAATGCTGTGATAGTTTTTCTTTCTGCCCAGAGAGTATCCATGCAGTTCTGTGTGAAAAGATGCAGGTCCATTGCATCTAACCAAGGAGGTCTCTAATCTGGCAACCTGTTTTCCAGTAAAAGCCTGCTAGAGTCCTGGTAGATATTTCACAAACATGTGTCCCCTTTTATTTTATGCTATCTCTCAGCACAGGGTTTGCAATCAGTGGTGTAATTCTATTAACAGAACACTTCTTCCTGGGAAAGGTTGAGAGGTAGAGCTGAAATTTCATATGAGTAAGCTATTTTGATTATTAATTGATTTTTTGTGTACTTATGCAGAAAGATCTATGGACTGAATCAACATAGTTACACTTCTGCCATGTTTTTCCCCAAAATGCATAATGACCTTCATATTTCCTTTAATCTATTCAAAAACCTGAAATTTACAATTGCATTGTTTGCAACATCAGAACAATACCTACTAATGCCGTGATTTCCAGTTTCTAGTAAAACTTCAAGACCAACCCCTGCCAACAGCCATCGGTGAATACAAGAACCATCCGCTTTATGCCTTGAAGAGGCATCTCCTTAAATATCAAGCCATCTATCCAGAGACAGCTTCCATCCTGGGATATTGCCGTGGGGAAGCGGTGTATTCCAGGTGAGACATCCTGTCAGCAGTGTATTCTGTGAACTACAGCCTCACTTGGTTGTTTCCCATTAGATAAACTTTTCAAAATGTATTTGTGGCTCCACATTTCAGTGTAACAAATATTTTATTGCCTTCCAGCAACAATGCTGAGTGGAGCTCCTGCCTTCCTCTCTTATGTGAAGTAGGGGAATAATGCCCACAGTTGACCTACACTTTGGAGGGTTTGACATTGTGACACTGAAATGTCTTCTGCTCTGTATCTCCTGCCAAGGCAGGGCAGAAGATCTGCCCAGACTGCCTCCAGAAAAGAGAATCATAGGCTTTAGATTTCCTTGAAAATGACTAAGTAAGGTTTTATTTTTGTGACCTAAGTTCAGTGTTGTCTCTTTTTCTTTAAAGAAACACACACAACCTTTCTAGCTCTCAAAAGTCTGGACAGTGCCTGGTGAACTGCTAGAAAAATAATCTGTTGGTTGGAGGGTGAAGCTTCAGTACCCTATACCAGTGATCCCCAACCTTGGGCCTCCAGATGTTCTTGGACTACAACTCCCAGAAGCCTTCATCACCACCTCTGCTGTCCAGGATTTCTGGGAGTTGAAGTCCAAGAACATCTGGAGGCCCAAGGTTGGGGACCACTGCCCTATACAATGGTGCCTCACTTTACGATTGCCACGTTTAATGACGAAACCGCATTATGATGAAGTTTTTGTGATTGCTTTTGCAATCGCAAAACGATGTTTCTTATGGGGGAATTTCGCTTTGCGATGATCGGTTCCCTGCTTCGGGAACCGATTCTTCGCAAAACGACGATTTTTAAACAGCTGATCGGCGGTTTCAAAATGGCCGCTGGGTAAACAAAATGGCCCCCTGCTGTTTTCTGGGACGGATTCCTCACTGCACAGGCAGCGAAAATGGTCGCCCTATGGAGAATCTTCGCTGGACAGTGAGTTTACAGCCCTTTGGAATGCATTAAATGGGTTTTAATGCGTTTCAATGGGTTTTTTCTTTTCGCATTACAATGTTTTCGTTCTACAGCGATTTCGCTGGAACGAATTAACACCGTGATGCGAGGCACCACTGTACAGCAATTTCTTCCTGTTGGTATATATAATAATTGAATACATTATAGGAAAATAGATTTTTGCTTTGTTGGCTTAATTTTTGCTAGTTGCAGAATATGATTACATTGGCACAGAATTCTGATACGTATATTTTTTAAAAAGTGTTGAGTACACTTTTTTCCAAACATGAGACAAAGAATGCACACAGTCAATAACACATTGTTTCTATATTGTTCATGTTCTTATTGGTTTCTCTGGGTGTTTGGACTTTTTTCAGAGATTGTATACATACCCTGCACTCCAAGGACACGTGGCTAAAGCAAGCTCGAGTCATCAGGATTGGAGAAGTCCCTTATAAGGTAAGCAGTTGCATTCAGAAGGGGTGTACTTAAGTGTGCCTCATGCAATAGCAGAATGAGGTATACATGCATGAACGTTTATGAACTAAAGAACCTAGGATGATCCTTGCTGGATCTGATCCTTATTCCCATAGTGGCCTCTGGGAAGCTCACAACTGTGACAGGAGAGCATTATTCCTCCATGTACTGTCAATGGTAGTTTTATACAGGATTTGTGGCTAATGGATCAAGCACACATGTAAAACAAGGCAACTAGGCTAGGAAGACCTGTATTTGGAGAGCTGCATTCGGGTAGTTGTTCCATTCAGGGACAACAGTACTAAGAAGAGAGACCTTTGCTTGAATGTAATGGGTAGGTATCATTTTTTAGCTTAGCATTGTGACAATGGCCATAGAATCATAGAAAAGTGAAGTTGAAAGGGGCCTACAGGGCCATCAGGTCCAACCCCCTGCTCAATGCAGGAATACAATTGAAGCATATCTGCCAGGTGATTATCCAAGTTTTTCTTGGATGCCTCCAATGTTGGAGCACTCACCAACTCCTGAGGTAGCTGGTTCAGCTGTTGAGCCAAGGTACACAAAGTCATGAACAACCTCCAATTCTTGTGTGGAGATGGTAATAGAGGGAGGTGAGTCCACACCCGGGCCCATGACTTGTGTTTTCTTCAAGCTGATTGTTAGTCCAAATTCTTGGCAGGCCTTGCTAAAACAATTCGTGACTTGTTGGAGGTATTCAGCAGAGTGGGCAACAATGGCTGCATCATCGGCGAAGAGGAAGTCCCGCATGCATTTCAGGTCTTTGCTCTCAATCAAGAGATTAAAGAGCTTTCCATCTGATCTAGTCTGGAGATAGACACCTTCTGTTGCAGTTCCAAAGGTGTGCTTCAGCATGACAGCAAAAAAGATCCGAAAAAGGGTTGGTGCGAGGACACAGCCCTGTTTCACTCCTCTTCGGATGTCAAAGGGATCTGATGTTGAGCCATCATAAACTACAGTGCCCTTAATTCTCTCATGAAAGGACCTGATGATGTTAAGGAGTTGAGGTGGACATCCAATCTTGGGAAGTATTTAAAAAAAGCCATCCCTGCTAACCAAATCAAAGGCCTTTGTGAGGTCTATGAAGGCCACTAAGAGTGGCTGTTGTTGTTCCCTGCATTTCTCCTGCAACTGTCGGAGGGAAAATACCATGTTAGTGGTGGATCTATTTGCTCGGAATCCACACTGTGATTCTGGATAGACTCTGTCTGCAAGCACCTGGAGCCTCTTCAGCACAGTATGGGCAAGCAGTTTCCCTACAGCGCTGAGAAGAGAGATGCCACGGTAGTTATTGCAGTCGGTAGTTATTGCAGTCGCCCCTGTCTCCTTTGTTCTTATACGTTGTGATGATGTTTGCATCCTTCATGTCCTGTGGTACTCCACCTTCCTTCCAGCAAAGACAAAACACTTCATACGGCTTGGTGGTGATGATCTCTTTACAGCACTTCAGCAGGGATGTTATCCTTCCCAGGTGCCTTGCCAGAGGCGAGGGAATCCAAGGCTGCTTTTTTTTCTGCTAAAGTTGGTTCACCGTCCAACTCTTCCAAGACAGGCAGGCACTCAATGTTATTTAATGCCACTTTGGTTACTACATTCTCTCTAGAATATAACTCAGAGTAGTGCTGCACCCAGCGGTCCATCTGCTGTGCTCGGTCCTGGATGATCACGCCTGTAGCAGTCTTCAAAGGAGCAAATTTCTTCTGTATTGGACCTATGGCCTGCTTGATACCATCATACATTCCCTTGATGTTACCTGTGTCTGCTGCTGTCTGCATCTGAGATCGGAGCTGATGCCAATAATCGTTAGAACATCTCCTGGCAGCTTGTTGGACTTGGCTACAAGCAGCTTGAAGAGCTTGCAAGTTGTACTCGCTAGGACAGGCTTTGTATGCTGCTAGAGCTCTTCTCTTAACCTCGATGGCTGGCATTAACTCCTCTGAATGGGCTTCGAACCAGTCAGCCATCTTTTTGGTCTTCTTGCCAAATGTGGACAAGGCGGTGTTACACACAGTGTTCTTGAAATGTTCCCATCATTCAGGTGCATTTGTATCAGCCGGGCATCGAAGGGTTTCCTCAAGCGCTTGGGCAAATTCCTCTACTTTTCTTTGATCGCAAATCTTACTTATGTCAATACGTGGTCTTCCTTTTCTTTTTCATGTGATACAATCTCTTTGTTCGCAGTTTTACTGTACTACACACCAGGGAGTGATCAGTATCGCAATCAGCACTCTGGTAATTGCGTGTGATTGTAATACTAGGAAGAGGCTAGAATGTCTAGTGAGGATCAAATCAAGCTGATGCCAACGCTTGGATCTTGGATGTCTCCAGGAAACTCAGTGTTGAGGCTTTGTCTTAAAAACGTGTTGCTGATACAAAGACCATAATAACAGCAAAACTCCAGCAAGCGTTGGCCATTTTCGTTCATCTTCTGTGGACACCAGTTAGGGCAAATGTGTGAATGGCTCATGTAGCCTCTTTCCTGTTTCTGGAGTGATAACAGAAGTGACAACAGGTGAGATGAGGAACCTCTAGTTACATGTCTAAGATGGTGCATAGGTCTCTGTTTTGATGGAGTAATGGAAATGGGTGAGAGAATTGAATTTGTTGTGTTTTATACAGATGGTCAGGGGCTTCTCCAACCAAGCAAGGAAAGCACGAATGATGGAGCCTGCAAACCGGGACAAAAAGGATTTGGCCCTCTTTGGCTTCTGGCAGACTGAGGAGTTCCAGCCCCCTGTGGCCGTGGATGGAAAGGTGAGCTGCAGGAAAGATCAGAACGGGCAGGCTTTAATGTGCTCCAAAGCTCAGCATTTGTGTTGAATGTCTTCTTCTGTTCACTTATTTAGAGTTCTCAACTTTGACAAGCAGAGCATTCCATATCTTTTAGGGTATGTAACATGTTTGCAAAGCAAGGTTTCTAAGCCCAAGGACCTGTTTTCTCCTAGATAGGTAGGTAGGTAGGTAGATAGATAGGTAGGTATCTGGATATTTTTCCTGAAACAAAGCATACTTGTTAGCAAAACACATTGATGTGCGGGCCCACAAAAGCACTGTTTCCAAATAGTGCCTTTGTGGATTATGTCACAGAGTATGTTTATTCTTTGATGAATACACATTGGTTAATGTCTAGCAGGCAAAATCCAAAGAAACAAAACAAGACAAAAATGTCTGGCACCTTAAAGACTAATCATTATACAGTGGTGCCCCGCATACTGACGTTAATCCGTTCCAGGATTAATGTCGCTATCCGGATTCGTCGCTATGCGCGGGGGGGGAACCCATAGGAACACATTAAACTCCGTTTAATGCATTCCTATTGGGGAAGAACTCACCAGTAAGCGAAGATTACCCCATCCGGCTGCCATTTTTGCTGCCCGGTAAGCGAGGGCAGGGCACGAAAACGCTGCGGGCGGCCATTTTCTGCACCCGGCGGCCATTTTGGAACCACCGATCAGCTGTTTTCTAAACATCGCAATGCGAAGATCGGTAAGCGAAACGCTTACCGATCATTGCAGTGCGATGTTTAGCCTATCTAAACATCGCAATGCGATCGCATTAGCAATCACAAAAAACACGTCGCTATGGGGATTAGTCGTTAAACGGTGCGCTCGTTAAGCGAGGCACCACTGTATTTTAATGTAAGCTTTCATGGGCACGTCCTCTTCATCAGACATTAAGAGACAGAACGAAATGAAGTTAAATGTATATGAAATACCAGTTTTACATTCTAAATGTTCCATTGGTTACATGCAGTAATTAGGCCTATGTTTGTTTTACAGTCCTGTTGTGGTCTGACTGAACTTGTGCAAGTTTCTTCATGAGGCTGATGGATCACCACTCTATTTGGATAAATTCATTGCCTTTCACAGTTGTAGTTTTGGAAGAGGTAGCCATTTTGGTCTGTGCAGGCATAACAGGCAGAGTCCAAAGAAGCAAAACAAAACAACACCATCCAGATTCAGCAAGGATTCTTGACGATGCACCCCTAGTGAAGCGTTATGTTTTGTGGCCTTGCATTTGGGCCCTGACCTGAAGCATATATTCAGTTTTTAAGACTAGGCTTTAAATTCCACAAATTTGCCAAATCCAGTTCTAAACTGAAGGAAGGAGGCAGTGTCAACACCCTTCTGCCTTGGTTCTTGTGGATTCTGGTATTCAGTGGTGTGTCTGTAGCACCGCTGATGGAACGCATGTCCACCCCACCCACCCCGAAAGCCTGAGAGGGGATTTGTAGGCTGTGTGCAGACAGAGCAGGCAGGACAGTTTTTGAGCTTGGACTTGGTTTTTTTGCTGGGATTGGGAGGGTTGCAAATGTATAAGGTCGTCTTAGCAGTTTGAAATGTGGCCTTTAAGTCTAATAAAGATATGGTCACATGAATGAAAATTCAAAACAAGTTAAATTAAGCCGGTTTTCTTATGAAACCATCACTTACTATTATAAGGTGCAGAAAATTCCTGGTACTATAGTTTTGTCTGACTCAAGAAATCCCATACATTTATGGCCACAGAGCTCACATTTTTACCAACTTTCCTTCTGTTATTAATTAGTTGCTATGCTGATTTTAAATAGTTTTAGTTTTCTCTTTATTTGGTTTACGCCCAGAGTAGTTCTTCGGCACTAATGGGGAGCAGTATGTACATTTAAATCATAAATAAATAATAAATGAATGTTCGTCATTTTCAGGCAGCACAGTGTTTTTTGTGTGAGCAAAGGTCTGCTTAAAAAGCATGAGTTTGTCTGTTTGTTTATCTGCCTCCCAATTCTCCTAAGTGATTACTTTCCAACCACTACCCATCTCGTGGCGGAATTTCTGTCAACTATTCTTATGAGAAACCGTAATCCCCATCCCTCCCAACTTCAGTTTTAACCTTCCCCCTCTTTACTTCCCTGGTTACATTGAAATGTCTGCTTAAAAGCATGAGTTTGTTTGTTTGTTTATCTGCATTGTTTGTTTGTTTCTCTTTCTGCTTTCAGGTTCCTCGGAATGAGTTTGGGAATGTGTATCTCTTCCAACCTAAGATGATGCCCATCGGTTGCGTGTTTATCTGCATTGTTCGTTTGTTTCTCTTTCTGCTTTCAGGTTCCTCGGAATGAGTTTGGGAATGTGTATCTCTTCCAACCTAAGATGATGCCCATCGGCTGCGTGCAACTGAAGCTTCCAAACCTCCACAGGGTGGCCCGTAAACTGGATATTGACTGTGTTCCGGCTGTCACTGGATTTGATTTTCACGGGGGCTATTCACACCCAGTGTATGTCACGTTTGTCTGACTTTGCTAGAGCAGGGTCTGCATGGGCAGGAATTTGGAAAAGTGACTTGCTTTTATTTCAGCTCCCAGAATTCCCTTTCTAGCGTGGTTATCAGCCACTCTGGCAGAGATATTCTGTGATCTGGAGCCCTAAATAAATAAATCTCTCCAAGTTCTGGTTATCCATGGCACCTGCCAGTAGAGGCTATATTTTTCATCCATGGCCCCTCTGCATTTATCACAGAGTAAAGTATTGACTGAGCTATATCTGGCCACTTTCTGTGTCCAAAACAGCAAATCATCCCTCCTTTATTGCTTATTCAGAATTAAGCAACAGTGTTTACCATTCTGTTACCTGCCAGGAATTTTATTCTGATTTTTATTGTTTTGTCCTCATATCTATGATGTTGAAGCAGAATTTCAAGTCAAGTGAAAGCTCTTTGGGAATTTCTTGTTCATATTTCATCTTTTGGCCCTTCCTGGGATCCCAGATATTTTCCATTCTCTCTTTCTCTCTCTCTTCTGAAAGCTTTGACATATAAGCTGTTCCATCAGTGCACAGGCAGCATCTAGGCGGAGATCAAAGGTGCCCCAGTTCAGCAGCCTACGTGACAAGTTACTGTGTTCTTCTTCATCAGCACGGAAGGTTATGTCGTCTGTGAAGAGCACAAGGAGGTTCTCGTTGCAGCCTGGGAGAATGAAGAAGCAGAAAGGGAGAAAAAGGAAAAGGAGGTAGGGAAAACCTGGAGAATTATAACTTTGAAGGGTTGAGTTGGGGCTGAATTGATATTGCTAGAAGCCACCAGCATTACAGAGCTAGACAGATAATCTAAAGATAGAACTGGTGAGTAATAAATGTAGTTGGGAAACCTGGGAATTCATGGGGGCAAGGGCTGGAGCCAGCTAAGGAAGTCCAGAGGGCCATATTTGACCCCTGTGCCTGAGGTTTCCCACCCCACCATATACTCAAGTTAAACCAATGTCTGTGAAAGTCTTGACCCCCAACATAAATCTTTAAAAAGGACATTGGCATCTTCTTTCTTCCCCGTAGGCTGATGGATTTCTATATATTCTGTCTCATCCTTTTGTAAAATGTAAAGTCAGCCGTTCTTTAACTCTGATTCCCTTTGGGACCAAAAACTTCGTAAAGGTTGCCCGTGGGTTCTAATTTTAAATCTAATTGCACTTTACAAACAGAAGCGGGAAAAGAGAGTGCTGGGAAACTGGAAACTGATGGTGAAAGGACTTCTGATCAAACAGAGATTGAAGGAGCGCTACTCAGTTAAGGTAATAAAAGCTGTTATATTCATATCCTTGTTGTAAGAATAATGATGTTATATGGTTAATTTCTCAAGCGTGGGAGAATTTATAGACTGTGTAGAAGCAGGTGGCCTTCCAGTTTGCATCATGCCATATCTCTGGCTATGCTTGCTAGGACTGACAGGAGATGCAATCCAGCGGTGTCTGAGACAGGCATATTTTCTCCAACACTGCTTTATATATTTCAGCAAAGGACCACCCTGTCTAACAGGATTCTGTTCTCTAGTATTTCAAGTAGTTCTCATTTGCAATGATAAAAAGTACATCTTCCTTCATGGATGTACAATGGGCTGATTTTTAGTTGCTGACCTATATAGATTTATCTGGCTGTAAAATTCACTGAGTGCAGTGAGACTTATTTCTGAATAGGCATTTATAGGCAAAAATCCTGTTTGGTGGGTTCCACCTGCACAAGGGAAATGATGTCATCATTGGGGCAGATTGCCAGCAATGAAAGACTTCTTTTTTATTTTGGCTTTGTACAGGCCCTTTTCTGATTGTGTGTGAACTGTGCACACTCTGAAATTGGAAAAGGAAGTCTGTAATTAGCAACAATCTGCTGCTGATGCCGCTGACGCTGCTGATGCTGACACCATCATAACCACAACATGAGAACTGCACAACAGGATTTTGACCATAAAGATATAGTTTCTGTCTTGATCTGATTAATTAGGTTTCAAAATGATATAGCAAGTGTTCAGACCAAAAGGTTGAAGACCATTTGACCCCAATAGCCATAAATTATGAAAGAAAAGGAAAGAAAAATTTATACAAGACAAGAAAGAACATTAATGCTCAAGATTTGGCAGGTGGGAACAGATCATTATCATCTACAGAAATAGGGAAATACAAAATATTTCTCTCTCTTTCATGCATGGACTGATCTTTTGGGAGACGTTTGGAATACTATAAACCTGACACTCTGGCTGAAATTCCATTACTTAGTGTTACTAGCATTATAGTAGGCCCATTGAATCTGTGGGGGTTTGGTGAGTCATCGTCTCCATAAGTCCCATTGATTCAAATGGGGTTACTCTAGTTATGACTTACTATGCTCAGCAACAGGATTTCACCCACTGAGTGGTAGGAGTATGATGAGGTGAGCAATCCTTCATAACTCTGGGTTAATAAATAACACATTCTCAGTGAGCAATAAAGATACAGTATAACAGTCATACCAGACATTTAGTGGTTCAGCCAGAAATGGTGCCCCTTTGCCCCTACATGATTTCCTAGACCCAACTACATTTTTTTCATGTATGAAATACTCAGTCCTAATAAACTAAATAGCTTAACAGTTTGGGTGTTCTTCATGACATTCAAAATCTGTTGTCTAAAGTGGCTTCCATGCGCTTCTTAATGGTAAGGCTGGCCTTTTCTTGTTCAAAGATTTTCAGAATGCGTAGTGACTCCCTCTGGATTTTATATTGGGGAACAATTTTTGTTTGAAAGAAATAATAATATGAGAGTACAGGTTGCTGTCCTCTGAAGATGCCGGCCACAGAGACTGGCGAAACGTCAGGAAGAACAACCTTCAGAACACAGCCAAAGAGCCCGAAAAACCCAGAACAACCAAATAATATGCTCTTCCACTACTATGGAGAAAGCATTTGCTCCACTGTAAGCAGTTTGAAAACTGGGTTTGGTATTTTATAGTTGCATTTGATTTTATTTGGTTTGATTCTTTGGCTGAGTTTAGGTTTGCTTGCTATTTTTGATACGTTTTGTGATTATAAATTACCTTTAGCACTACCCAGTAATGGAAAGCCAATGTAGAAGTGTAATAGGTAGATGATGATGATGATGATGAATGTTTTCCTAGTATAAGAACAACAACAACAAATCTTTGCCTTGTATTCTGATTATTCAGCTTTCTTGCAGAGAACAGTAATTTGTAAAGAAATGTTTTAAAATATCCTTTCTGTATTTCTGTGCAGATTTGCAAAGCAAGCTGGAGAGTTGCCTTGCACTGCTGATTTCTTTTTCTTTCAAGGACCTCCATTATAAAGGGACTGCTTTCACAGGATCAACTGAACATTTCTTTTTCTTTTTTTTCCCCCTCCTCCAGAATGAGGCGGCAGGAGCAACGATGGAAAGAGGGGATGGATTCTCTTCCGATGAGGATGAGGATGGAGGAGAACAACCAGCTTGACAGACACGTGCTGAGGATGTGGCTGTTTCTTGGGCCCAGAACCGGCAGATGGAAGAACAGAGCGAAGGAGAAAGAAGAACCAGAAGGAGCAAGAGAGAAAAGAAAGGGGAAGCAAAGCACTTATTTCCATTTGAGAAGCTGTGACCAGGAGGAGCCTTGGTGTTGAACCAATTCTGTGTTCTTTCAGACCAACTTCTGCGTATTTTCAGGCTTGCTTATAGAATGGTATATATCTTGTAAAATGTTAGCAAGTTGGAAACTTGGGGTTGAGTTGATGCAAAAAAAGTTTATCTATTTTTTTAAAAAAGTGCTGCTTATAGGAATAAATCAGGGAGCTAGTAGAATCTCTACAAGTCTAGGCCATAAGATGTATGTACACTTTGCTCTGTGTTGCTATTCTAAATATGAGATATGTTGAAGAACAGAAAAACGGACATGTTTTGCTTTCACCTCTTCTCAAAAGTTCTGGGCCTTCCTTCTTTATAATTGTGGACTTCTGAGGAAGAAGATTGGTCAGATGCTCTTGATATGTATGCATGTTTTTTGATCACTCACTTTGTGGACTTTGTTTTCCTTTGGACATTTTTCCAATTCTTCAGTTACTTTGCTGTTAGTGGACTCCCTCTCATTGTCCTTCACTGTCCTTGTTTTTTCCCCTTTTGGTTGTTTGCAAAACAGTTACAGGACCGCTGTGGAAGGTCCCACATATCACTTCTGGTATGAAGGCGATATAGCAGAGTACTTTGGCTAGAAATAGTTAGAATCCTTGTGGGAGTCTTTTCCTGGATGTTCCTGGTGTCAAGTCCTAGCATTCTTGACTCCATTGCTTGGGAAAACTGGGAGGGGATCAGGTGTAGGAAACACAGCCTTTAGTGCCTTCAGGAAATGAGCAGCAGTCTGCTGGGAAAATCTGTCCAAACATGACAAATACCAACAGGCACCGTGCAAGATCAGCGGTGCTCTTACAACCCTTCCCCCTCATTTCAGTAAAGCTTGAGCAAGAAAGGCAAACGTGAACATTTTTGTTAGTATTAGAAATAAACATAAGACTTACAAGAATAGGAATTTTGAAAAATGTACATTTTGCTTTACTGTTTGTTGGATTTCTCCTTGCATAACGTAAGACAAGAATAGGAATTTTGAAAAATGTACATTTTGCTTTAGTGTTGGATTTCTCCTTGCATCTCTGCTTTTTATCCTCATAAGTCTCAATAGCCATGTGAGTTTTATACGTGTTGAGCATTAAAAAGAAGGAGCAATGTTTGTACTTTAGAACACTGCAAGTCAGCGGTTGAAATCCAGAAGTCGTTCAGAACGAGAGTTGTCGCATTGAATCAGTGGGTTTTTTTGTGAGTCAGCTCCTTTATACATACTGTTGATTCAGTGTGCCCACTCTACGTGTGACTTACATCTGGACTTCAGCTAGCGCAATCTGGAAGACAAAAGAATGCATGCTTGCTATCTGTCATTACATGCCTAATAATAGTCGTATAATGACTTGTTTGCCATTTAGAATGCTTTGATTTATGCAGTTGTTGCTATAAAGAGATGTTGACAACACCATCTGTTTTACACGAGAACTTTAAAAATTTATATTTTTATTCTTTTATTGGCCTACTGACATGAAAGAAAACTCTCCCTGTCTTTAACCTGACTAGAGCTACTTTTGGCACTTTAAATGTTCTTAAAAATATTTTTATACTGAATCTTCAGCTGAAAAAAATAAATAAAAAAGCTTTAATAAGATCTTGCTTCTGCTGCTAGCTTCTTTTCTTTCCATGGATTTATAATTGCAAAGTGCATTATGAAACATTCCAACAATTTACACTGTTCTCTTCGTATCCTCAAGATGTCATTTAAAATGTATTTTTATTGTTTTTATTAACTAGTTTAATAGTATGTTTGTTTGATTTTTTAAAAAATATTGTAATAATTTTTGTTTTATATTTAAAACTATAAGGCAGGTTGTATCATATAAATATTTTAAACAAATAAATATAAATAAGTGCTAGGCTTGAATCCACAGGACCACAGAGTTTCAGTACCTTCACTTGGACTTTGACATACCCATTCCTGCAATAATCTCTCTTGCATCTTCCTTCTCCCTAAAGATGATGATGCAGTATGAAAGAAAAAGCAGAAATCCTGCTGAGTGTACACAGAGATGAGCATAAACATATCCAAGGTGCTGCTGGAAGTCTCCCTTGTTTTCTTTCAGCTTGCCTTGGGGAAACTTGTGATGTTTCAAAGTTTGCTGGTGGTATAAATGCAAGATTACAGACCTATGCAGAAGACATACAGTTTCAAGAATGTGGTCTTAAAAAAACTTGTCTGAATCCTATTGGGGATACATGGTTTCACATAATGTGTACATGCAAGTCATGGTGGTGATTTTTTAAAAATTAACAAGGTGCCAGTCACATGCCTAAGAAAGTGACCAGCACTTTGTTAATCAGCCGCAATTCATCACCCTAAGTTACAGAATTTCATAGGCATTCATAAATTGAACCTAATCCGAATTTATTTTTTTACAATAAACCCAAGTTGTAACTGATCTATGACCCTAACAAGAGTTTTCAGGGAATGTAAAATATTCAAGTAGTTTCATCAATTACACACACATGCACAAACAGTGAACTTCCATGGCTGAGCAGAGATATTAAGCCAGGTCTTCTGAGTCCTAATATGGTTCACCACATTGGCTCTCAAAATGGTATCAGAAATAGATTTGAGAGAAGTAATTTCAGAACTCCCTCCTTACCAAAAAGGACAAAAGGAATGTCAACCATGAGCATTACATTAAACTGTACAGCTTTCTCTGTCCAGCTAGTTTCTAGTGTGTCTTAGGAGAAAGAGTGAGACATCCGTAGGAGCTCCAAGCTACCTCTCGTTATGCGCAAAAATTCCTCCTGCTTTGTAATTTTGATACATGGCTCTGCTTTCACTTTGGTATTTCATGTTACATGCTTATATCCATCTTCATTGTATATAAACATGTCTTGGGAGAATGGAAACTATGTAAATCCAGTTAAGTGAGCATTAGAATGTTTAGTAGATACACTTCATGAAAGAAATCATGAACTATATGGCAATAGATGGACACCAGAAGAAACCTATCTTGATCCAACTGCCAGCTACAGCCATGAGTCTGGTGGCCTCTTAGAGACTATCATGGTTGTTTTATTATTGTATGCTTTTCATGCTTGCAAGCCTCTTCTTGCAGAGTAGACCTTTGATCTAGATGGGCGGGATAGAAATCCAATAAATAAATTCTTGAGAAGCAAGTGGGCTGTGGTCCCTGAGAGCTAATGCTAAATAAAACACGTCAGCCTTAAAGGGACCACGACTGAAACAGGTTGGCATGGTTAACCATTTCTCCCCTATTTTATGTTTTGGGCAAAAGACACTGTAAGGATGGGGAAAATGCTCAAATGTTCTTCCTGAAAAACAAGGAGAGGTAGCAGTCCTGCCCACAGCAGAGGTCTCAAACCAAATGGGAGAAGCCAGGACCCTTTCCTGTTTCAGCATTGCCTCAACTTCAGGATAATTATTGCTTATGAAGAACATCTTCCAGAAAACTCTAGAGGTGCCTTGTTAACAAGAAGGATGCACACTGGAACAGCTCAGATAATATATTTGCACAGTTGCTATGCTAGCTAGCTGTCATACACATGCACAAGCTGAAGCCATTTCTTGGGTTTCTCCTGCTATCTGCAGAATGCTGTATAAGTGAGATTTCTGCAAGCAAGTCTTTTAAGGAGCATGCTGAATCCATGTCTCTATTCTTGATTGTTAACTGAATATGTGTGCTTCCCATTGCATGCAGGTTCAAGAAGAAACACAATGCTATAGGTGAAAGTTTATTTATGAAATATAAAAATGTGGCAATTCAGTCCATAGACAATTTAGAAAAAGCTCTGAAAGTATACAAATACTGGCTATTGTTTAGCTTGAGCCTAATCACAATACTTCAGTCTATACCAGCACACAACTGATAAAGTGATATCTTGTTAAAGAGCACTACCACAAGTATCAATTAGCAGACACTGGGTGTGGTGTGATTCTTCCCCTATGTGAGTTGTGACCACTAGACGGTGGGCTCTTTGATCTACAAGAGAGGGATGGGTCTAAGGTGGAATTGGACTCTCGTCCAGTATTTACTATTTGGGATTTACAGAT